GATTGGCATAATATTCGAATGATTTTAATAATTAATAAAAATTCTGAAAACTGTGCATAAGGACCTCACACAACAACTTTGCCGTTAGTCCTAAACTGAGGCCTTGAAGTTTTCCCTATCAAATGATCAGGATGGTCACCTCCTGATCATGAGGCAATTTTATTGCAAAGGCCACTAACTAGATACAATCCAGTTTCGCTCAATCCACTGTAGAAGTCGTGATCCTTCGAAAACAGTTGTTAGACAACTATGTTTGCAATGGCTGAAAATGACTGCGTGCAATGTATGGAGTCTTCTGCGGAAGGCGAAATCCTGTCCACTTAGTTTTTAGATACATGCGCGCCGATATTAGCACGCACATAGGCTATGCTTCTCAATGTCAACATTTTTCAAGAACAGTATTTTTCGCCTGTACAAAAAAAGAAGAATAAATGGGTATTATTTATTCAAGTCTAGCTTGTTGGTTGAGATATTAAAGCAGATTTAAAACAATAACATGCAAAAAGCTATTTACAGCATGCCTACGATGAGATGAGTGTACTCGTTATGGTAAAGGTATGTAGAGAGTCATGTTGAGGGGGAAAGAACTGAGATGTAGAGTGCACGCCCATAAAGCAACTTCAAAAAGTGAAATGTGATGTAATACAAAAATGATGAGAGATAAGGAAAACCGGGTAAAACAATACCAAAATTAACCGGAGCACATAAGACAACCTTCGTCAACAGTCATGGAGGCCATTTGACGAGCAGCACTTTGAACCTATAAGGGTTCAGATAAAACTTCGTCTAGCAAAGGAGGTTCCAAATTATAACTTACCGAGTCCTTCTCCTCCTTGGCTTTTAGCGCCTGTTTATCAACGGTAAACTGTACTGCATTGACAGCTGGCTTGGTACGTAGGTAGTACATTCCAGTTTTGAGTCCCTAAAAACACTAATATATTAATGTAGATGAAGAAACAGATAAACGACAGCGAGTAGAAGGAGCAGCATCATCTTTATATGGTAAATTGGAAAAGACAAACCTTCTTCCATCCATAGAAGTGCATCGATGTGATGTTAGCGTAGCTAGGACGAGCAATGTGGATATTTAAGGACTGGGACTGATCGATGAATGCTCCACTACAATGATTACCATTACTAACTTGCAGAACATATTGATAATTGCAATGAAAGATAAGTATTGACCGATCAGCAGCCATTTCTATGATATCCTTTTGTGGAAGCTCCCATACGGTTTGATATAAACGTTTGATGTCATCGGGAATTCCCTGAACTTATAAGTTTCGACCAAAAAAGGGAGAAAAACAGACAATCGCTTAAACTTACAGGTATTTTCGCAATAGATCCATGATTGGCAATCAGCTGATTCTTCATATCCTCATCCCACAAGTTCAACTCGACTAAGTCTTTCAGCAAATGTGGGTTAACAATTTGGAAGTCGCCAGACAGTACTCTACGACTGTAGATGTTGAAAGTGTAAGGCTCAATAGATTCATTATTGCCAAGAATTTGCGCCGTAGAAGCTGTTGGCATCGGTGCCACAAGAAGACTGTTGCGGACACCATGTCTAAAGATATCTTAATAGAACAGTCATCATGAAATCTTAAGAAACATACTTCTTGATCTTCTCTCGAAGTGTATCCCACTCGCATTGATCAGTGGGCGTAACACCCCACATGTCAAATTGCAGAATACCCTTAGACACTGGGCTCCCTTCATAGGTTTCGTATGGTCCTAAATAAATAGTTAAAGAACTACCCTTCTAAGTGAAGGAAAGAAAAAATTAAGAGACCCCTGCACTTACCAAGTTTCTCGGCCAACTCGCAGGAAGCCTCCAAAGCTGCGTGATAGATCACCTCGAAGATACGCCTATTC